ATTTTCAGCAGAAAATTGCTCAAACTTAGTCAGAATCATCTTGGGTAAATGAGAGTTTTACTTTGTAAAATTAGGATTCCTGCCCCATCCCCAGGGGCTAGGGCGGGGCCCCAAAGGGAACATTTACCAATATTTTCAAATTCTTATCCATTGATGACATGACAAGTATTGTATTTCACTTAGTTTACATGCTGATTTCCACATCACATCTAAACAATAAAATAAAGTTACCAGTACCTATGATATAACTCAGGTGACCGCTAAGGCCCTTGGGCCTCTTGTTGTAATTGGCTAATCAGCATGAACACAAATAGCTAAATATACATATATGATCCTCCAATCATTCTGATTTCCTTAATTGTATACATTGTATTAACTTTCTGAAAGTTTATCTCTGCCGTATTGTCGGGGGCAGTCTAACAAGCATCACATTGACAGATAGATATCATAAACCAATCATGTGATACCATCTGCATTCATGGTGCTGTGAACACAACTTCAATTTAGTTTGATCATATTGTTATAGCACCATAGAAATTAAAATGTGTACGTTTAGGTAAAGGGAACGTTTTCCTGCATGAGGACAGAATATATTGTGGAATTATTTTACAGCCTGGTATGTCCGAGCCAGCATGGTTGGTAATGTATCAAATTAATGAATTGTCACAAGTTCAAATTGAGCAACGGCCAGTATTGATGTGTCTTCAAACAGAACCCTTAACCCTGACTGTCTCAGTCTACCCCACTGGGCATCAGCTTGAAGGTGGTCCACAACACTTTACCCTGACTGTCTAAGTCTACCGCACTAGGCATCAGCTTGGAAGTGGTCCACAACACTTTACCCTGACTGTCTCAGTCTACCCCCCTGGGCATCAGCTTGGAGGTGGTCCACAACACTTTACCCTGACTGTCTAAGTCTACCCCACTAGGCATCAGCTTGGAAGTGGTCCACAACATTTTACCCTGACTGTCTCAGTCTACCCCACTAGGCATCAGCTTGGAGGGGGTCCACAACACTTTACCCTGACTGGCTCAGTCTACCCCACTAGGCATCAGCTAGGAAGTTGTCCACAACACTTTACCCTCACTGTCTCAGTCTACACCACTGGGCATCAGCTTGGAGGTGGTTCACAACACTTTACCCTGACTGTCTCGGTCTACCCCACTGGGCATCAGCTTGAAGGTAGTCCACAACACTTTACACTGACTGTCTCAGTCTACCCCACTGGCCATCAGCTTGGAGGTGGTCCACAACACTTCATCCTGACTGTCTCAGTCTACCCCACTGGGCATCATCTTTTAGGTAGTCCATAACACTTTACCCTGACTGTCTCAGGCTACCCCACTAGGCATCAGCTTGGAGGAGGTCCACAACACTTTACCCGGACTGTCTCAGTCTACCCCACTGGGGATCAGCTTGGAGGGGGTCCACAACACTTTACCCTGACTGGCTCAGTCTACCCCACTGGGCATCATCTTTTAGGTGGTCCATAACTCTTTACCCTGCCTGTCTCAGTCTATCCAACTGGGCATCAGCTTGGAAGTGCTCCACAACCCTTTACCCTGACTGTCTCGGTCTACCCCACTGGGCATCAGCTTGAAGGTGGTCCACAACACTTTACCCTGCCTGTCTCAGTCTACCCCACTGGGCATCATCTTTTAAGTAGTCCATAACACTTTACCCTGACTGTCTCAGGCTACCCCACTAGGCATCAGCTTGGAGTTGGTCCACAACACTTTACCCTGACTGGCTCAGTCTACCCCGCTGGGCATCAGCTTGGAGGGGGTCCACAACACTTTACCCTGACTGGCTCAGTCTACCCCACTGGGCATCATCTTTTAGGTAGTCCATAACACTTTACCCTGACTGTCTCAGGCTATCCAACTGGGCATCAGCTTGGAAGTGCTCCACAACCCTTTACCCTGACTGTCTCGGTCTACCCCACTGGGCATCAGCTTGAAGGTGGTCCACAACACTTTACCCTGGCTGTCTAAGTCTACCCCACTAGGCATTAGCTTGGAAGTGGTCCACAACATTTTACCCTGTCTGTCTCAGTCTACCCCACTAGCAATCAGCTTGGAAGTGGTCCACAACACTTCACACTGACTGTCTCAGTCTACCCCACTGGCCATCAGCTTGGAGGTGGTCCACAACACTTCACCCGGACTGTCTCAGTCTACCCCACTGGGGATCAGCTTGGAGGGGGTCCACAACACTTTACCCTGACTGCCTCAGTCTACCCCACTGGGCATCAGCTTTTAGGTGGTCCATAACACTTTACCCTGACTGTCTCAGGCTACCCCACTAGGCATCAGCTTGGAGGAGGTCCACAACACTTTACCCGGACTGTCTCAGTCTACCCCACTGGGGATCAGCTTGGAGGGGGTCCACAACACTTTACCCTGACTGTCTTAGTCTACCCCACTGGGCATCAGCTTGAAGGTAGTCCACAACACTTTACCCTGACTGTCCCAGTCTACCCCACTGGGCATCAGCTTTTAGGTGGTCCATAACACTTTACCCTTACTGTCTCAGTCTATCCAACTGGGCAGCAGCTTGGAAGTGGTCCACAACCCTTTACCCTGACTGTCTCGGTCTACCCCACTGGGCATCAGCTTGAAGGTAGTCCACAACATTTTACCCTGACTGTCTCAATCTACCCCACTAGGCATCAGCTTGGAGTTGGTCCACAACACTTTACCCTGACTGTCGCAGTCTACCCCACTGGGCATCAGCTTTTAGGTGGTCCATAACACTTTACCCTGACTGTCTCAGGCTACCCCACTGGGCATCAGCTTGGAGGGGGTCCACAACACTTTACCCTGACTGGCTCAGTCTACCCCACTGGGCATCATCTTTTAGGGGGTCCATAACACTTTACCCTGACTGTCTCAGGCTACCCCACTAGGCATCAGCTTGGAGGTGGTCTACAACCCTTTACCCTGACTGTCTCAGTCTACACCACTAGGCATCAGCTTGGAAGTGGTTCCAACACTTTACCCTGACTGTCTCAGCCCTGACTGTCTCAGTCTACCCCACCGGGCATCAGCTTGGAGGTGGTCCACAACCCTTTTCCCTGACTGTCTCAGTCTGCCCCACTAGGCATCAGCTTGGAAGGGGTCCACAACATTTTACCCTGACTGTCTCAATCTACCCCACTAGGCATCAGCTTGGAGGAGGTCCACAACACTTTACCCGGACTGTCTCAGTCTACCCCACTGGGGATCAGCTTGGAGGTGGTCCACAACACTTCACCCGGACTGTCTCAGTCTACCCCACTGGGGATCAGCTTGGAGGTGGTCCACAACACTTCATCCTGACTGTCTCAGTCTACCCCACTGGGAATCAGCTTGGAGGTGGTCCACAACACTTCATCCTGACTGTCTCAGTCTACCCCACTGGGCATCATCTTTTAAGTAGTCCATAACACTTTACCCTGACTGTCTCAGGCTACCCCACTAGGCATCAGCTTGGAGGAGGTCCACAACACTTTACCCTGACTGGCTCAGTCTACCCCACTGGGCATCATCTTTTAGGTAGTCCATAACACTTTACCCTGACTGTCTCAGTTTACCCCACTGGGCATCAGCTTGGAGGCGGCCCACAACACTTTACCCTGACTGTCTCAGGCTACCCCACTGGGCATCAGCTTGGAGGGGGTCCACAACACTTTACCCTGACTGGCTCAGTCTACCCCACTAGGCATCAGCTAGGAAGTTGTCCACAACACTTTACCCTCACTGTCTCAGTCTACCCCACTGGGCATCATCTTGGAAGTGGTCCACAGCCCTTTACCCTGACTGTCTCAGTCTACTCCACTGGGCATCAGCTTGGAGGTGGTCTACAACATTTTACCCTCACTGTCTCAGTCTACCCCACTGGGCATCATCTTTTAGGTGGTCCATAGCACTTTACCCTGACTGTCTCAGTCTAACCCACTGGGCATCAGCTTGGAGGTGACCCACAACACTTTACCCTGACTGTCTTAGTCTACCCCACTGGGCATCAGCTTGAAGGTAGTCCACAACATTTTACCCTGACTGTCTCAATCTACCCCACTAGGCATCAGCTTGGAGTTGGTCCACAACACTTTACCCTGACTATCTCAGTCTACCCCCCTGGGCATCATCTTTTAGGTGGTCCATAACACTTGACCCTGACTGTCTCAGTCTACCCCACTGGGCATCATCTTTTAGGTGGTCCATAACACTTTACCCTGACTGTCTCAGTCTATCCAACTGGGCATCAGCTTGGAAGTGGTCCACAACCCTTTACCCTGACTGTCTCAGTCTACCCCACTGGGCATCAGCTTGGAAGTAGTCCACAACGCCTTACCCTGGCTGTCTCAGTCTACCCCACTGGGCATCAGCTTGGAAGTAGTCCACAACGCCTTACCCTGGCTGTCTCAGTCTACCCCACTGGGCATCAGCTTGGAGGTGGTCCACAACACTTCACCCTGACTGTCTCAGTCTATCCCACTGGGCATCAGCTTGGAGGTGGTCCACAACGCTTTCCCCTGACTGTCTCAGTCTACCCCACTGGGCACCAGCTTGGAGGTGGTCCACAACATTTTACCCTGACTGTCTCAGTCTACCCCACTAGGCATCAGCTTGGAGGTGGTCCACAACACTTTACCCTGACTGTCTCAGTCTACCCCACTGGGCATCAGCTTGGAAGTTGTCCTATTAAAGTTGGGAGTCTTTCCAGGAGGGAAACATTATCGCCGCCACTTTATGCTAAAGAAACTTTATTTAATTCTTTAGAATTAGAACATATGTTTTACTTCACGTATTCCTAGCCTATCCCAATTATGTTTGAAGGGTTGTTTAAACTCTAGGGACTACCAGGATTGGAAAAACCTTTTTATAATATGTTTGTAGTTGTATCTGTGACAGTACATTCAACCAGGAAATAATAAAACTTTTTAATTTATTCACAGATGTAAAAAGATATTTTCACAAATGAAGTTGGAGGATTTCACAAATGTGGAGATGGAAGTTTTAGGATCAGAACAAATGTATGGTCCTAACTCCAGGATTCCACAGGTAAAGTCTGTAATGTCTAAGTAAAATTGATTGAAGTTCCTTATGATTCGATGGTATTCTAGACATTCTAATTCATTTTTATACGACCGTCAAATTTGACGGTAGTATTATGGTATGATGTTGCTTGTCCGGCCAGCCGGCCGGCGTAAACTTTGTTTGTCCGGCTATCTCCTCCTACATTTTTCGAACGATCTCTTTGAAACTTGGTATACATGATAATCATGATATGAAGTTGTGTCTCCCTTAAAAGAATTTTGATTCGACAATTTTTCCAAAACTTATTGCCCTTTGTTCATTTCAATATTTGATTTTTGTCCGGAAATCTCCTCCTACATTTTTCAACGGATCTCTTTGAAACTTGGTATACTTCATAATCATGATATGAAGTTGTGTCTCCCTTAAAAGAATTTTGATTCAACGATTTTTGCAAAATTTATTGCCTTTTGTTCATTTCAGTATTTGATTTTTTGTCTGAAGATTTTCTCCTACATTTTTTATAGCATATCAGCTAACCACTCTTAGAATGATGCAGATCTTATTTCAATGTAAGAGAGTATATAACACTATATGGCATTCGACGGGCGTATTTTGTTCCGCCCCGCGGTACTCTTGTTATAATGTAAAGTTGCCACATATTTTGATTGTGATTAATTTAGAACAATCTATGACAAGATAAACAGTGCAGGACAGAAGGCTGGCCCGAACATTTTTTTTTGGGCGAGTACAAAAATTATTCCACAGGCCCAAAATGAATATTGGTAGCCCAAATATTTCACTAAGATTATTTTCAGTGTTGAGCAATAAAAAATGCCAATAAAACAATGTAAATAGATGTTTTTAATGACATCCCCAACTACTGAGTAGCTGTCATTCAATTCAATTATTACCAAGCATTTTGAAAACAAACCAAGGTACCATGTATAGCATTACCGGCGAAAGTGTCATGGCGTTTTCTAACATTACGGAAGTATAAGAGTTATCTACCTTGGAGCGACCTCTGCTGATTGACGTTAATGTCAATTCAGCGTTGATACGGCAGACCAAACAACATAAAATAGTAACTTACAGCGAAGAAAACTTACGACTTATAAAAATACATCAGTTAACTTACTTTGCATACTTCGACGGCTTTTTTTGTACTGTCTGTGTCAATTCTGATGCACTTGCACGTTTTAACGGCGTGACCCAGACTCTTGAGAGTACAGGATTTCCGAAACTTTCTTAAATTTGATCAGATTTCAATGAAAGCAGGTCAGCAGATACATGCTAGGAAAACTGAGTCTAAGTTCAATGATAAGCAGGTCAGCAGATACATGCTAGGAAAACTGAGTCTAAATTCAATGATAAGCAGGACACTTGAAAAACTGACCCAAAAACGTTGCTTCATGGATAACCTCGCATGATCGGCAGAACCAAGTTACATCTGCGTTTACTCCTGGCCAATAAAACTCCATCATTATTCTGTCGTTTGTCCGCTTGGATCCTAAATGACCTGACATCAACGAGTCGTGTGCCAGACGAAGTACGATTTCGCGATACTTAGTTGGTACAACAAGTTGTTTGAATGTCCTACCATTTGCTACCGCTGGGCTTTGGAATTCTCTATGAAACGGTTGAGATCCCCACCCCAAAAGTATATTTACAAATACTGGGCATAACGAGACGAATGCAGTCATGATATTAGAATAGACCCTGGGGTCTGACTGAAACCCCTAGGGACCTAGTTTCTGAGTCACAGCTTGGAAACAGTTGAGATCCCCACCCTTGGTGAGTATAAAGAAATGAATGCACATACGCTTCCAGGATGGCCTTTGGGTCTGCCCCACCCGTAGGGACTTAACCCCTGGGTCATAACTTCGAAACGGTTAAGATCCCCACCCCAAAACTATATATACAATTATTGGGCATAAATAGACGATTGCAGTCATGATATTAGAATTGATCCTGGGGTCTGGCCACAACCCTATGGACCTAGTTCCTGAGCCCCCCCCCCCCCCCCCTAACCATACATAATACACGGATTGGCCTTGCGGTCTGGCATATTTCTTGGATTTCATTTGGAGAATATTTTGCCATGACTGCTTGGATATCCAGGTGAGCGATACAGGCCCTCTGGGCCTCTTGTTTAATTTCCCTTGGGTGGTCACTTAATACAGATTCCACTGTAGTATATTGTGCAGAAAGATTGTAAAGTGTTTTTCTGTGGATTTTATCAACTCTGAATAAATATTTGGCCTGTATATCTATCAAGTGTATTTAAGCAAATGGAAACTTTAGTTGGTAGTTGAGCTGTAAAGACCCATTTGGTCTCAAAATGATATAGTGATTGAATGGATTTTTTTTCATGTACATTGCGGCAATGAATAGCAGACTTAGCTGATCTACATATCACTTCAATTCATATATTTACGTTACGAAGAACTACAATAAAAAACAGCACTTTTTGTAAATTTAGTATATTTAATATAGCATCCGACAGGAAACCATAAAAAAGGAACAGCCAGAACTCCAGCCTACACACAAACTTGTAATGTTCATCTTTCGCCGATCAGCTAATTTAGTTGAAACAAAAATATTTATCTAGAAACTAATAATCTAATTTGATAATATAATCTAATCTAATAATAACCAACACTTGATATTCCTTTCATTTTTGAAAATTGATCTTATTTGATGTGTTTTTTTGCATTAAACACTGCATATTATATATTTTAAAAAGTTTATGTCCGCACTATTTCAAATCATCGGTCACCAAGTAACCATCCAAGACACCCGTCGGCTGTAGGCATAGAGCTCATTTAAAGTTAAATGTACAGCCGTTGAATATGCTGTTTGCCAAAAAACCTGCAGATGTTAATGATGATAAGTTGGTGGATGAAGTGCCCTGTGTCATTACAAGGTTCTCTGGGTTTTAATTTACAAGTTGATGTCATGGGGATTACCCAGACAGTCGTTTGGGTATTAGAAAGTTTGTGACCACGAGGAACCGATTCTGAGTCCGAAGTCAGTATTTAATATGACAATGTTATAAATATTTCTTTTTAATTTCAAATATTTTTTTTTTAGTAATGGCCCCCCCCCGTTCAATGGTGGATCATTTATGATTTTTGAAATGTTTATTATTATTTCTCGCAACTACGTTATCTTGGACACAGGGAGATTACTCTCCTCAGAAACATTACTATGCGTAGTAATATGAAGTTGTCATTGTGTGTGAAAACAGCTGACTGGTTACACAAGAATCGTTGTATTCATAGTGTATTCATGGTCTAATGGCAGTTGTTTTCAGTTGGTAGATTCATGTACAGAACAAAAATCAAGAATGTAAATATAATCCTGTAAATGTCACACAATCTGTAGTGTTGACATTTTACTTATAATCCTGTGAGTGTCACACAATCTGTAGTCTAGACATTTTACTTACAATCCTGTGAATGTCACTTAATCTGTAGTCTAGACTTTTTACTTACAATCCTGTGAATGTCACACAATCTGTAGTCTAGACATTTTACTTACAATCCTGTGAATGCCACACAATCTGTAGTCTAGACATTTTTTCTTAAAATCCTGTGAATGCCACACACCGTTAGCTGATTGGTAATCATGATAAGTTTACTTTGTCCCTGATTTCCGTGTCATTGTCATGGTAACTAGATATACTAGTTGTTTGGTTACAGGTGTCACACACTGCTGTACTGTAGTAGTTTGACATTGTAGCCCCCAATCATTGCCCACAGGACATCCTCCCTGTCTATACCTATAGCCCATGTATAGTCTGGGTCTGTGTGTGCCACACACCGTTAGCTGATTGGTAATCATGATAAGTTTACTTTGTCCCTGATTCCCGTGTCATTGTCATGGTAACTAGATATACTAGTTTTTTGGTTACAGGTGTCACACACTGCTGTACTGTAGTAGTTTGACATTGTAGCCCCCAAACATTGCCCACAGGACATCCTCCCTGTCTATACCTATAGCCCATGTATAGTCTGGGTCTGTGTGTATGACCCTGAGGAACTCACCACCTCCACTGATGAGTAGGACCCTGTGGTTGTCACCGTCCACTATGATCAGGTTCCCCACACAGTCATACACCACACCATGGGGATAAAATGGTTTACCTCCTGTTTGTGGTGTTGGTCTATATGTACTGGGGATGTCACCTCTATATACAAATTTTAAACAGCTCCTTGAAATCAGTGTCAATCACAACAACATGTCGGTTTCCATCACCACCATCACTTTCACCACTGAAATCAGTGACTGCCACATTGTGAGTGACAGGACACTCTGTGATCCTGTATGGTGTACACACTAATGGTTTCCCAGCCCCTTTAGCCATAGTAGTACACACCATTTTACCATCTGTGGTTTTGGAGATGTGTTTGATCATCCCTACAATGACATGGTTACTGGCTGTAATACATATACACTTTGGTAACTCCTTGGTACTGAATCTGTGTGTCAGTCGTCCTGATACCAGCTCCATGATGTTCTTGTTATGATCACAGACCCACAGTGTGTGTGTGGTGGGTGACAGACTGATATCACTGATACAGACACTGTGTTTGCCCAGCTGTATTACTTCACCCTTCCTGTCCAGGAGATTTAATGTTTTACTGTACCTCTGACCGGTCCACACCTGACCATCAGTGGTGGGACATATAGAACCAATGTTACATGGAGACCTCCACTCCTCCACTACCTTGGTCTGTGGCAGTAGTTTGTATGTTGTCACTGCTTTCTTCACTTTAGTTCCTGACCGTTGTTGTGTAGAGGGTTGTCCCAAATCATCACATGTTGAGACTGACCGATCCTGGTCAGTTAAAGTTTGACCTTGACCTGATGAGGTGATAACTTTTCCCAAGGCTTTTTTCAAGTGATCTTGAGGACTTTCATTTGGAGTGAAGTTGGCAGTACCCAGGACAGGTTTGACAGGGAGACTGTGTGTAGGAGAATGGATCTCACAAAATGTATCATAAATCTGTAAGTGTGAACCA